CGCCGCGGCGAGTGCTGATTTGCAATCAGCGTGAAAGCCAAACATGCACGCTGCAGCGATGGGTTATATCACCATGGCGAGCGTACACTAATCTGTAGCCCCAAATCAGTTCAATTAGTCACCAAAAACACACCAAACGGATTTTGCAATCAATCATAAACACTGATTTCAACAAAAATCCATAACCCAATATACCAAACTTGCAAATCATCAACAAATTCAAATTAATCAATTAATTGATTTCTTAAAACATGCTTTTAAGGTAGATTTTACGCAGATTCTTTAAGGCAACATATTATCAATCAAATACATGTAATCAATCATCCACATAAAACTATAAAATCTGGTACGCTAGGCTCTGATACCATTGTTAGGAAACAATCCAGTAACGCAGCGGAAAACAAAAATATTTAACGAATACGGGTCGTGCCATAGATGTTAGAGTAGATGCCCTAGAGCCAATCAATTATTGTAGAATTGACTCTTTGTAATAATGTTCATTAATCAATAAAAGGCATTTTATTCTATATCGCGTAAATCATTATTATTGCAATATGTATTGATATATGTCCTTAGAATGGTAGAGCCGTGACGAGGGTATCAAGTGTTTCAAATCTTGATAGTGAGAACCCTATGAGCACATATGGTGGCCATTCTAGAAACGTTCATAGCCCTAGTATTATTCTGAAGTAAGGGCATAAATAATACGGTAAGGCTATCATAGTGTTGAACGACCCTGTCGTAAGGCAGTGACTGATCTCACTTGTCGAGGTTGTTTAGTGACAACCTGGTGCAACACAAGGGTGCTTGCTGTAGGCGAATACACCGCAGCAAGTTCACTAGGCATACCCACCAGAGGATTCCATATGGATGCTAACCCTAGTGTCTATGGAACAAATCCTCTAACGAATGGTGGTGCATGTGATCCTTAGACTTGAGATCACCGGAGCACCTTGTGCATCGATTGGTATAGTTTGACACTAGCCTAACGCAGTTCTATTCAGAGCTGTCAGTACGGTGGTGATTGGCTGCATCAAGGAGTGTATCAAGACTATGGTAGATTGATAGAGGATTCATCACTCCCGAGTACGGGAGAAGTTATCTCACGGCGCAATTTAGTAAATGGCAATGATACTAAAACTGTGGCCACAATGGGATAGAGTTGTTGCTCTATCCAAATTATAATACAGGTCATTGGTCCAGAAATTGAATACATAATATCGAGAGTAACCGAAGGTTGACACTATTTCTATGTCTTCGTCTCGTCGAGATAACGGATGATGAAAGGGTAGAATTGTACGGTAACCATATCGTTGACAGGTAGCTACTTTGCTGAATCTGAATCTATCGAGTGGCCATGATGCCTTGCTAGGGGCCAATCTTGGTCTGTGTATTAGTGAGATGATTAATTGGTGTTAATCGAGATAGTATACACTACCGGTATGATGAGGAGCCTATGGGTCACACACATAGAAGATAATTTAAGACTCAGGAAGAAAGAAGGGTGTTTTCGTCTTTTTAGGCGAAATGGTATTTTGGTAATTTCACAGTTCAATTAAATTTGCTGAGATCGTAGCCTTTATTTAATTTATTAGAAAAATTAAATAAGTGAAATTATGTTTAAATATGTGTTCGCATATATTTAATTAAATCATCATTATTGTTAAATGTTAATATATAGATTAAATATATATTAATTGATTTTAATTAAGATAATGATGAAATAAAAATAATTATCTAATTGGGAGTGTTTGGTAACATGGGGTGTTTGGGCTGAAGCCCAAGTCTATTACATATGGGAATAGGGCAACTAAGTTTTTAATATAAATGAAAAAGAGTTATTTGTAAAATAGGTTAATTTGATTCACTATTCATTCTCTTTGAAAAACCAAAAACACATAGCCCCAACTCTCTCCCATGGCAGTATTTCATTTTGCCCAAAATCAATTCATTTGATTTTTCTTCTTTAATCTTAAAGCTAAGGAGGATCTAGCAAATCCTTCCTTAGTTCTTTGTGACTGTTTTCGTGTGGACTACGTCGGTTCGATCCTATACTTGGGTCGGTAGCAAAACGTCAAAGACAAAGTTGGAGGAGCCTCCAAACGTGCGTATGGTTTCTAAACTCTTGATTAATTTTTCTACAGATTCTACTTTAATATAAACTGTAAAATTATACCTTTGATCTTGGCTCTTTGGGAACAATCCTTGTGTTACGATTTTTGTATTTTCCGTTGCGTACATGGACCGTTTCCTAACAATAGAACCAAGATTAGGGCACAAATTTACAGTTTATATCAAACTAAGAATTGGCGGAAAATTAGTTTAGAGTTTAAGAAATCATATGCACGGTTGAAGGCTCCTCCAACTTTGTCTCTGAACGTATTTTGCTACTGACCCAAATGTAGGATTGAACCAATATAGTCCACACGAAGATAATCGCAAGGAACTAAAGAGGGATTTCCTAGATCCTCTTTAGCCTTAAGAACAAAGAAGAAGATGAAGTGTATTTGATTTAAAACCAAAAACCCAAATCTAGTGTGAGAGAGTTTTCAAGGGGCTGTAGCTTTTTTTCTTTTCAATCAAATGAAAAATAATGAAAATCTCACTTCAATCAATTAAACCTTTTTCTTTTATAGTGCAAGTTTAATTGCCCTATTCCCTTATGGAATAGGCTTGCGTTCCAACCCAAACACCCCTTGTTTCCAAAGACTCCCATTTAGATATTTTGATTTTGTTTATCATTATCTCAATTAAAATCAATTATTAACATTTAACAATAATGATAATTTATTTAAATATATGCAAACACATATTTAAACGTAATCTCACTTATTTAATTTTTCTAACAAATTAAATAAAGGCTACGACCTCAGCAAATTTAATTACACTGTAAAATTACCAAAATACCCTTTTGCCTAAAAAGACGAAAACGCCCTTCTTTCTTTCTAGCTCTTAAATTATCCTCTATGTGTGTGACTCATAGGCTCCTCATCTTACCGGCAGTGTGTAGTATCGCGATTAATACCAATTAATCGTCTTACTAAACACAAACCAGGATTGGCCCCTAGCAAGGCATCATGGCTACTCGATAGATTCAGATTTAGCAGAGTAGCTACCTATACAATTCGATCCTTTCATCATCTGTTACCTCGACGAGACCGAGGCATATAAATAGTGTCAACCTTCGGTTACTCTTGATATTGTGTATTCAGTTACTGGACCAATGACCTGTATTATAAACTGGATAGAGCAACAACTCAATCCCACTGTGGCCACAGTTTTAGTGTCACTACCATTTACTGAATTGCACCGTGAGATAACTTCTCCCATACCCGAGAGTGATGAATCCTCTGTCTATCCACCATAGTCTTGATTCACTCCTTGATGTAGCCAATCACTATCATATTGACAGCTTTGAATAGAACTGCGTTAGGCTAGTGTCAAACTACACCAATCGGTGCACAAGACGCTCCGGTGATCTCAAGTCTAAGGATCACATGCACCACCATTCGTTAGAGGATTTGTTAGACACTAGGGTTACCATCCATATGGAATCCTCTAGTAGGTCAGTCCAGTGAACTTGCCTACAGCAAGCATCCATGTGTTGCACCAAGTTGTCACCAAACAACCTTGACAAGTGAGATCAGTCACTGCCTTTTGACAAGGTCGTTCAACAGTATGATAGTCTTACCGTATTATCTGTGCCCTTACTTCAGAATAATACTGGGGCTATGGACGTTTCTAGAAGGACCACCATATGTGCTCATAGGGTTCTCACTATCAAGATTTGAAACACTTGATACCCTCGTCACGGTTCTACCATTCTAAGGACATATATAAATACATACAATGATTATTTACGCGATATAGTATAAAACGTCTTTTATTTATCAATGAACATTATTACAAAGAGTCAATTCTACAATAATTGATTGGCTCTAGGACATCTACTCTAACATAGTCATGCCAACCGTCTAGTCTCTTAACTATTAAGAGACATATATTTGTTATTTTGATTAATTTCAGGAGAGAAAGAGTTTATCCACCTTGAGGTTTTGATCAACTCTTTCTAGGTCTTACAGTTAAAATACTTGGATTTACCCCCCTATAATTTAATAGATGCTTACATTATCGGTTAATTGAGATGATTTTTATATTTAAAAATCAAAATATCCCTCATTTTGATATTTATAAGCATTGACTAAATAATGATATAATTAAAAATGAGTAATGTTACACTAACAAAGAAATCTTACAAAGATCTCTATACAAAGTGATGTGGCAAAAAATGAATGGAAGAATGAATATAATAAGTTTGACTTTTTGTTTCACTCTTCAATTCATTTTTTGTCATATCACCTTGTATGAGAATCTTTGTAAGTATAGTATTATTGATAAAAAAATATACAAAATTGTTATTATTTTTTAAATTCGAGAGGGTATATTCTTATATTTTAAACCACAAGACTCTAAACCCAGGGATAAACACAATTAGCTCTTAATTTCACATAAAAAATAGAAAAATCTATTTAAATAAAAAATATAGATATTGTTTTATTAGCTTTTAGCTAGTCGTTACACCAACACCATTTATTATCCAACTTGCATAAAGAGCTCTCCCACGAGAAGCCCAATGGCTTTTACCACCAGGGTTGCACGTGAAGAGAATGTTCAGACCGCCTTTAAACCCTGATTGAAATGGATGAATTGATCAATAGCACTTCGCACAGGATTACAATCATGTGGACTAAAACACAATAACAGATTCTTGCTTATATTATATGGCATTATTTTTTATTTTCCTTTTTTTAAAAATGTTTGTCCTATGTACATTGGTGACTGGCTACTAATAATCATACAAGAAACAGAAAAAAAATGACACAATAACAGATTCTTGCTTATATTATATGGCATCATTTTTTATTTTCCTTATTAAAAAATGTTTGTCCTATGTACATTGGTGACTGGCTACTAATAATCATACAAGAAACAGAAAAAAAATGGCTAAACGCAGCGTACTCTTTGAACTCTTTATTGTCATCAACATCATCTTTTTCATCTCTTCTATATGTTGTCCTGAATATCAAAAGCAAGCCCTTCTCCAGTTCAAATCCTTCTTCATCAAAGCTACCAACTCTTCTTCAGCCTTGGCATCATGGAATGCAAGTTCAGATAATTGTTGTCAATGGGACAGGGTCATGTGTACTTCTCACTCAAATTCGGGGTCTGTGACTGCTCTTTATCTTGACTCTATTGTTTCTGATCCCATGATGGTTAATTCCGCGGTCTTATCACCACTCTTTCATGTTAAAAGCTTGATGTATCTTGACATAGGCGAAAATAACTTTCATGGTGAAATACCTAGGAAAGGGTTTGCTAACCTCACAAAGTTAGTTTATCTCGAAATGATGTTTAATAATTTCACAGGCACCATTCCTTCTCAGATTTTTCACTTGAAGAATCTTCAATATCTTGACTTGAGTGGCAATGCACTTAGTGGCAAAATAAGCCAGGAAATGTTTTCTCTTCAGAACTTGAGGATATTGCGATTGGCAGGTAATTTTCTTGAAGAATGCATTCCGGATGAGATTGGGAACCTCAAGAAATTGCAGGAGCTGACTCTTTACCACAACAAGTTCTCTGGTGGGATTCCCCCTTCAATTTCTTCTTTGAAGGAGTTGTAGGATTTGGACCTGTATGATAATCTTTTATCAAAGGAGATTCCAGTTGAAATTGGTGACTTAACCAACCTGACACGTTTGGATTTGAGTGATAACAAGCTGACTGGTGGAATCCCCTCGTCCACACAGAAACTAAGGAAGTTGGAAACACTTAAATTGCAGAGCAACTTGCTGTCTGGAGAAACTCCATCTTGGTTGTTTGATATCTAGAACCTGAAGTATTTGTTTATAGGAGGCAATAATCTGACTTGGAACAGCAGTGCAAAGATAGTGCCCAAGTGTATGCTCTCTCAGTTATCTCTGAAATCATGTGGACTTGCAGGATTAATCCCAGATTGGCTTTCAACACAAAAGAGCCTTTTTTCGTTGGATTTGAGTGCGAACAAGCTTGAAGGACCCTTCCCACTATGGCTTGCAGAAATGGAACTTAGCATCATAGCTCTGTCAAGTAATGAACTTTCGGGTTCTCTTCCATCGCGCCTCTTCCAATTTCAAAGCTTAGTAGCGCTTTGTCTAGCAGGGAACAATTTCTCGGGAGAGTTGCCACAAAACATCGGAGATGATGCTAAATTGAGTTTTCTTGTATTGGCTGATAACAATTTTTATGGAAAGATTCCAACATCATTAACAAAAGCTCATGACCTTGTTCTGTTGGATTTGTCAAATAATAGATTTACAGGAAGCGCCCCAGTTTTTGCCCCCGAAGGAAACCTTGCAGTCATTGATTTCTCCGATAATGAATTATCAGGTGAGATTCCAGTCACTTTTTCTAAAAATAAAGTAATACTTTCGTTAGAAAATAACCATTTCTCAGGCAATCTGCCTCAGGACCTGACTAACCTCAGCAAACTTTTACAATTGGATCTCCACGACAACCAAATCACAGGTGAATTACCAAGCTTTCTCTTTCAGATGTATACCCTTCAAGATCTCATTCTTCGAAATAACTCCCTCTATGGTTCAATTCCTAATGAAATTTCCAATCTAACCAATCTTCGAATCCTTGATGTCCCATGCAACAACCTCACTGGCAAAATCCCTGCCAAGATCGGATATCTGGTTGGAATGACTGAAACATCAAATACCTTGCCATTAATATTCTCAAATTTACCCTCCGTCTTTGAATCGCTCCAGTTAAATGACATGATAATCATTTGGAAGAAGTCAAAACGAGGTCTCTCGAAACAGAACATTGGGCTCTATTCTTTGTTAGACCTATCAAAGAATAAATTCTCCGGGAACATTCCATCTTCACTAGGTTCTTTAATTGCACTAAAGGTACTTAACGTCTCATATAATAACCTCTCCGGAAATATACGAGCAAGTTTTGGTAATTTAAAGAATCTAGAGAGTTTGGACGTGTCACACAACCACTGTCCGGGCAGATTCCAGAAGCACTATCAAAGCTGCAACAAGTTTCTACTTTTGATGTCAGTAACAACAAGCTAGTGGGAAAAATCCCGGTTGGTGCCCAGATGGATACAATGATTGATCCAAACTCATATGCTAATAACAGCGGATTGTGTGGTAAGCAAATATACAAGCCATGTTCAGAAGAGTTGTCACCAACAGTGCCACAAGAGAATGAAAAGAAGGCGGCATGGTTTTTCGTGGGAAGCAGTGGGGATTGGATACTCTGTTTCTTTTTTCTTGACAGTCCTGATTATATTTTTCTCTGGATATTTTCATGTAGCAACGCCTCCTAGGGTTCGAAGAAGAAGGCTGAATGGTTAAAGTTCAATCCTGTAGATTATGCAATGCATGTCAACAATTGAATTGTGAAGCTGTGCTAATATTACTGTTTAGTACTTTTTATTTGGAGTTGAGAGTTTTTGAGTCCATATAAGAATAAATAATAGCTCGACTAGAGTGAGTAAATTATGCTTTATCTTCAAGCTCAATTGCAATTGTCTGTGTTGTATCTGTGCTTGTTTCCTCAAAGTTTCTGTCTGTAGTTTTTCCAATCAATGACAATAAACTACTGCACCATGATACGTGTCATATATATGTTGTATATCTTATAATTATTTGGAAAAAATGGCCAAAGTGTTTTCATGTTATAGAATCTTGTTCGAATTTGGACCTGAATCTGCAGAAAGTGCATCAAGTGATGAACAAGCCATATACCAGAAAAAAGCTTGGAACTTGCATGAATTTTCATAATCAAATGAACAGAATTATTTTCTATAAAAGAAACAACAGACAATTTGCAGATGAAGCAGATATGATAGGGCAGGATCATAGAACGGCATAAACACAGCCTTTACAGTATGCTTCAGTGCTTAGATAACATAAAATGCAGAATATTAGCTCCAACATGTCCATACTAAACATAGTTCATCAAAGCTACTAACTCTTCTTCAGCCTTGGCATCATGGAATGCAAGCTCAGATTGTTGTCAATGGAACAGGGTCGTGTAGTTCTCACTCAAATTCAAGATCTGTGGTTGCTAATTGAGAGGTTTTCCTTTAAGCTTCATCAAATTTCCTAGTAACTTTTTCATCATTTTTAATATTTTATTATTTTATTGTGTAACT